AATTGATCTGTTTAATAAATCTGTTTTGTTTAAATGCATCCAAATTATATTCACTATATTCACTGAGGAATTGATAAAAAATATTCATTTTCAAAATGGGGTGTACTCAATTAAGCTGAGCACTGTATATATAGAACCTATCATAGAGGACCAAACAAAAAGGACACATTTAAAAGCATTGAAAAAATGTACAAAAGCACACACCTCACTTTAACTGGGTGCTCAGCCAAACAGCAAAAAGTGCAAAAATATATATTCAAAAGGCGGCAACACCAACTAACTAATTAAAAAGGCTGACACAAGGCGTATAACATTTCAAGCACATGGCTCTTCATCAGCCAGTGTTCATCACAATAAGTTGCTTATTTTTAAATCCAGATCACATGATCTCACATAATATCTCAAAACAAGAAAAATAGAAAATATAAAAGCACTCCTCTCACATGGTTATAAATATTTAAGAGTTTCTTTCTTCTGTTGTACACAAAATAAGTTATTTGGAATTCCATAGTAGGAAAAACAGCTTTCTTCAAAATATATTTTGTGTTCAACAGAAAAAATTAGTTTGCACGGTATGATTTTCAAAGTCATTGATCACAGTGCTTTTCACACTGCAGAACCTGTTGTTTTGGTGACAGAAGCTTAAACACCGCATGACTACAAAGAAACAATCGCTAACAACTGGCTCGCAAAGTATGTTTCACAACTAAATGCAGACGACAACTAATAAAGACAAAAATCGCAAAACCACACATGAATATAGACTTCATGTGCAAGGCTGGAAATTATACCTCAATGTGACAGGCTATCTCAGACAAAACATCAAAAAGACATGGGTGCTCCTGCCAAAGTTTCTCCCAGCTTTCTTCACAAAGTCCAACACATTATAATCTGAAAGCCAAACTTGTCGGAGGGTTAAACAATCCAACCTGTTCCATTGACTTTGTATTGCGGGAAGCTCCTTCCTTGTCATTTCTAACAAATAACAAAAAATAAATAAATAAAAAAAACTTCTATGTGACAAGGTGAAGGGTAAACCAGCTAAAAAAGTTAAATTTTTATAAGTCTCTTTTATTTTTTATAAGGTTTTACAGTTCGGTAGCTTACAAATAAAAAATGCTATTGGTTTATTTACTTGTTTGCTGTACACCATGTCACACATCCCTTATCCATTTGGCCTCCCAATCATCCTCATCCACTGAATTAACCATCTCACTACCTCTCCACTGCACCTATAGCTGTTGTGTGGTAAGCGCACTGGCACCATTGTCCTGTGGCAGTCGTTACATCATCCAAGTTAATGCTGCACACTGGTGGTGTGAAGAGACCCCCCTTATGATTGTGAAGCACTTTGGGTGTATGGCCACACATGATAAATGCACTATATAAATACATACATTACATTACAGCAGCTTTTGGGTGTTGTTCTGTTTTTTGTTGTAAGCCACAAATGACAAGAAGGCAGCCTCTTGCAATAGAAAGTCAATGGAATGGTCTGTATTGTTTTACCCCTTGGTGTGGTAGCGGCCTAAATGTGTTCTGTCTTCATTGCGGTCTATAATTCTTCCCTGAACTGAATCTTGCCAATGATAATCGCCAATGAGCTTTTATTAGTCAGAAGTCAAATAACAAAACACAAATTTTGAATCACCAACAGGTCCAGATATTTACCATGATAAATATTTCACAGGCGACACATTGGTGATAGCAACTTTGATTATTCACACTCCGTGACACTCATTTGAGTTAATGAGCTCTGGCTTGCTTCCAATTTTGGACATTTAAAAGAGATTTAACAAATAAAAAATCTGGGCTAAAGTAATGCAATGTGAACTTGCATAAGTATCACAATAACAACCCCCCTGCGTCAAATGGTTCCTGCCAAAACTAGCCTGATTTTGATACGTCCAAACCCTTCATGTGCATGATTTATGTGTCTTAAACTATATCCAAACTCTCTTCATCCAAAATCACCCTCTTCACATTTACACTTGTTGTGCTCTCGATCTTCAGTGTTTGTTATTGTGTGTGAAAGAGATCTGAAGTATCTTTGGTTCTGTGTCTCAGCTCTGTGGGTTTTCTTGGTCCTTGCAGGCTCCGGGGCCTGTCATGACAACTGTAAACATTTATGTAGCTTGGTGGTGAACAGTCTGGAAAAGCAGTCCTGATTCTCTCACTCCTTACGCACAGAAAAACACACTTTTACACTATGACACACAGAAAAATCCATAGCGAAACACTGACATTCTCAGCCACTGCTGGAAGGATGTCACTTTAAATGAGTCTTTTTAGAAATGCAAATGTACAGTTCAGCCATGCCACTATGAGTAATATGTGAACACATATGGGACACATTACTGAGAGAGAACATGTTACCAAGAAACCCGCAGAAATGAGAAACAATTTGATCTATTTTAAATATGGTTTTAAAAAAGTTCTGTTATTCCTACAGTCTATATTTGAGTCAAAGGTATAACAAGCATTTGTAATAAAGGAAAAATATTAAAAGACAAGAAATACTAAACTGCACAATGGCGCAGTGAGTAGCACTGTCGCCTCACAGCAAGAAGAAGGCTGGTTTGAGTCCTGGCTGGGCCATTTGGCGTTTCTGTGTGAAGTTTGCTTGTTCTCCCCGTGTTCGAGTGGGTGTCCTCCGGGTGCTCCGGTTTCCCCCACAGTCCAAAGACATGCGCTTTTGGTGAATTGAATAAACTAAATTGGCCCTATGTATGTGTGTGAGAGTGTTTGGGTGTTTCCCAGTGCTGGGTTGCGGCTGAAAAGGCATCCAATGTATGAAACATGTGCTGAATAAGTTGGCGAGTCATTCTGCTGTGGTGATCTCTGACAAATAAAAGGACTAAGCCGAAGGAAAATGAAAAAAAAATACTACTTAAAACACAATCGTAAATATGTACAAATAGTTTTTATCAGCGTTTATACTACAGAATGATCCGTTTTCAATTATTCAAAACTTAGAAAAAAATATGTGTAACCAACGTTGATGTAACCAATACACTCCCATGATAAAAAGTGTCATCTAAACATTTTAGCTCAACTTTTTGACTTTGTAAAACCTCAAATTATCAACAGGAGTCTAAGGTATTGATTTGGTTTTGCCAGTATATGTTTTGAGGGATTGTAGCCCTTGACATGGACTAAATCTTGGATGATCTTAGGGTGAGTAGAAAAATAATTTAAATTAATTTTTTTGAGAGCTGTACCCTTAATTTTTCTTGGGTTGAGTTAAAGTGATGTAAAATGAATGAATAAATAAATGGTAGAAGAATTAAAAATAAATATAAATAACATAACGTGGTACAGTGGCTCAGTGGTTAGCACTGTCACCTCACAGCAAGAAGGTCGCTGCTTCGAGTCCTGGTTGGGTCAGTTGGCATTTCTGTGTGGAGTTTGCATGTTCTCCCCGTGTTTGCATGGGTTTTCTCTGGGTGCTCTGGTTTCTCCCACAAGTCCAAAGACATGAGGAATAGGTGAATTGGGTAAGCTAAATTGGCCAGTGTGTGTGTTTCCCAGTAATGGGTTGCAGCTGGAAGGACATCCGCTGCGTAAAACATATGCTGGATAAATTGGTAGTTCTGCTGTGGCGACCCCTGATGAATAAAGGGACTGAGCCGAAGTAAAATGAATGAATAAATAACATAACTTATTTTCCTCAAACTTCGAATACATTAACTTTTGGGGAGATTCACACCACACCTTAATCACATGAACTAACTTTGATGTCATTAAAGTGTCAAATGATCAAATACTCAAAAAGCTTATTGATATTAATTTTGGAATTGAAAGAGTATAGTTCAGCATACAAGTTGTATATCAACTCATCATAGACAGATTACATTTAAATCCAAGTAACTACTAATGCCACACAACTAACCCTTGCAGACACACATTAATCTTTACCCCTCTGTGTGACATTATATCGTACACAGTGTAAACCGAATCTCAAGACTTCTTAGGTCAGTTTCACTCAGTTCTTAAATCACACTTCTTTTCCAACAGACTGGTTGTATCTGGTCTATACTACAGAAAGCTTCAGTGGGTTTCTTCTGACATGTATTTTACTTCTCTGCCTTTTACTTTTCATGTTATGTCTCTATCAGCTCTCCTACGAGGTGGGGGCGGAAGGCCTGAGAGTGAAGTTAGAAATGCAGGGAGGAATTAAGGGGGCAAGAGGGTGGAATTCCCAGAGTCCACACCTGTGTTCTCCATCTAAAGCTCAGCAGAACATAACAGAGCTTGCTCATCACACAGCATCTGCAGAATCCATCAGCAGCCATAGTGCATATGCACAAAACAGATCCCGGCACCTACAGTATACAGACTAAACAACACATAAACATTCGTATGATGATATAGTTAGTGACATTGCACTTGACTACAGTCTGGAAATACTTCATCCGCAACTGTTGTGCTCCATTAAAACAGCATTGCTAGCATTTACAGTAACTTCTGCAGACGTGTGATTTTGTATACCTAAAAAGTAGCTATTAAGAAGGCTGCATTTTATCTTAAATCTTAGTTTCTTCCGGTCCTGAATTTAAACAAAAGTCTCCCTCACGATCTCCATCTTGCTGACGTCTGGATGAAGTTATTAGAAGATAAAACTCTGTAATGTAAGTAATTATTTTGTAAAAGGAGCGATCTGGTTATGATTAGATAAAAACATTTTCATTCTTTACACTTTAATTAAATGCAATCAACTCTATTCTTGAACTTAAGTGAGCCACATCAGTAATTACGTTATCATATAAAGTACAACTGTGGTAAAAAAAAGGACTGAGGAAAAACAGGTCACAGACAATTAACAGTCATGTCTTGTAAGTGGAGAATGTTTACAGATGACAGTTGGAAATGCCAGTATTTACAGATTTGTATTAAGAGATTATTTTACATAAAGCTGACTGAGAGAGAGAGAGAGATTGAGAGCATGCAGCAGTGCAGCACATACAAACCCACGCATATGATACTGCATTTAAACTTACCTTTAAGTAGAATGGTGATCTTGAATAGCAGCAGGTACTTGTGAATCTCCATTGGTCAGTTATGTAATTTCAGTCTCTTTTTTTCTCCTTCAATTGGGTTTTTATCAGTGATTGTAAATAAAGCGCGCTCATTTATGCAGGCGCGCGTGCAGGCGCATCTTCTCTCAGGTGTAGATGTGCTTCTTCAGCGTCATGCTAGATCTCACGCGCTCGTTGTGCAGTCCTGTCGCGCACACACCGCTCTCACACTCCTGCGCATGAAAGACAGTACTGTACAGTATTCTGGCCAGGTCACTTTGAGCTCAAAAATAATCAATTCATAAATAAATAATAAGTAGAGGAAGGATTAAACATTTGACTATGTTTCAAAGATGAACTACAAACTTTAGACACAGCTGTGCTTGTGTGATTAATAACGAAAACAACATTTTCAGAAATCCAAATTGTTAAACACAATTGTCAAAAATGGAAAACTTGTGGAAGCCAATACAAAAAATGTAGGCCTATTAGCTTCCTTTATACACAGAAACAATAAATAGGAATTAGTTTAATGGTTATAAACTTTCAATTTCAGTCATCATTTTAGTGCCCCCCTAAAGAAACGTTGGATAAGGGAGCTACAAATTGCGTGTCTGTGTAAACACGCAGATTACTGTTATTAAAAAAAAAAATCTTGATAAAACATTTAAGCAGTTGGGCTTACTTAAACTTACCGTCTCGTTCCCCTCATATACAAAATAAATCCGAAATGCAGGTCTGCGTGGCTCCAACACCTGCTGTAGCTAGTTAAAAAGCCCGCGCTGATAAATCCATTTGTCGCAAACGAGCAGTTGCCAAAATGAAAACATTAGCAAAGACAACTGACAGTAATATAATTTTCCTCCGATTTTCTGTTATTGAAGAAGTCTTTATCCTTTATATATCAATTGTGGAAAGCATTATAAATTTTTGCACAGCCTTTTTGTTATTTATTGAGTTAATAACTGCTTTCTCTTGACCACAACGTGTCTGAAAAATACCTACAAGAAAATGAAAGAGCTCCTTGATTCTGCAGCAAGACCTCGTCTGCCTCAGTCAACTGAACTGAACCGTTTCTGACTGAGCCTGGCCCACAAACTTCTCTCTCTCTCTCTCTCTCTCTCTCTCTCTCTCTCTCACTCTCTCTCTCTCTCTCTCTCTCTCTCTCTCTCTCTCTCTCTCTCTCTCTCTCTCTCTCTCTCTCCATCTCTGCGTGTGTTTTTGTGTCGATGTAGCTACGCGAATCAGTACATGAGATGTGGTTTTGTTGGAAAGTTTTAAGGGGAAAAGAAAATAGTATTGCAATTTCCAACCGGAGTGAATCGAATAACAAATATATTATGGATTTGGCAACCCCATGTAGATTCTGGTTACGATAACAGGGGCCAATTAGCTTGCTTTTCCTTTTAAATATTCCTTCTTGTTTTGTGACAGAATTGAGTTATGTTTATGACTCTTATAACGCATCATTTTGTTGCTAGTAATTGTAAATGTCTCTCTAGCATCAAATAAAAAATGCTGGCTGACCTCTTAAAAAAGAAGTAAGATTTGGTTGAATTATTCCTGCCACAGATATTATCAAGCTCTGTTATGTTAAGACTTTGTCAAAACATTGTAGTGCCTTGGGTCATGTCTGGGTTCACCACAACCCAGAAAACTAAATTAGTTTTTCTGGAATGGGAGATCTATGAAAGCTCAATTGTATCCTATTTCTGTTTTAGCATATTAAAGGGTGTGCTTGTATTTGCCTGTTCGCTGTTCTCCATCACCAAATTTCCATTACACCATTCCTCAAACATTATTTACTGTGTTTGATAACACGGTGTGTGGAGGTTTGGTAGGCAGTTATAACTGATTATGTAATTTAATAAATTAACATCTTCATTTAATTATTCATTTTCTTTTCAGCTTAGTCCCTTTAATAATCTGGGGTCGTCACAGCGGAGTGAATCGTCAACTTATCCAGCACATGTTTTACACAGAGGATGCCCTTCCAGCTGCAACCCATCTCTGGGAAACATACATACACACTCATTCACACACATACACTAAGAACAATTTTAGCATCCCCAATTAACCTGTACCGTATGTCTTTGGACTGTGGGGAAAACCGGAGCACTTGGAGAAAACCCTCACAAATGCAGGGAGAACATGCAAACTCCACACAGAAATGCCAACTAATCATGCCAAGGTTTGAACCAGTGACCTTCTTGCTGTGAGGCAACAGCACTACCCACTACGCCACTGCCTCGCCTAAATTAGCAAACTAAATATATAAAAAATTATAAGTAAATTATATGTTTTTTATTTATTTTGCCAATTTTTCCATTTTAAATTATATTTTTTTATGTCAGTTTAAATAATTGAGAATAATTCTGCAAGTTAATGCTCAATGTAAAATGTAATGTAAATGTGTTTCAGCACTAACAATTTTTATTACCTGTGATATTATCCCTTTAATCACTGAAAAAATAATTCAGTGCAAATAATGAGTTGGAATATTATGCTGTATCTCTTGATTGTGGAAATTGCCACTCTCTCTATCACTTATATCTCAAAATATTTGCAACTGAAATCTTTTAAATGAATCTATGAAAAATCATGTTTGAAAACTACTAAAATCTCCAATATCTGAAATATAAAAAAGACAATCACATTACTATCATACATGTAATCACAATGTTATAACAATGTAATTACACTATTATAACAACATCGTAATTAACTATAATGTAATAACATAGTAATTTCATCCAAAAATAAAAGATTGTAATTACATATGTACTGTGTATATTTAAATATAATTACACGAATACTGTACATGAAATAAACAAAGAAGCAAGTTCATAAATATTATCTTGGACGTAAATTCAATGTTATAGCAATGTAACTACAATGCAACAACAGTAATTGCACACAAAAAAGTTTGTAATAACATGTGTACTGTGTATATTTTCATATACAACTATAAATAAATACTGTGCATAGAATATAAAAAGAAACATTATAAATAAGATCTTGGATGTAACTACAATGTAATTACAATGTAAGATGCAAGGTAACAGTTTGTGATACATATTACATCTCAGATGTAATTACAATGTTATAAAAATGTGAAAATGTTATTACATAGTAATTATAATGTAATGACAGTGTAATTATATCCAAAATGAAAGATTGTAAATACATTTGTGTGGTGTATATTTAAGTATAAATACACAAATACTGTACATGAAATATACAAAGAAATAGTTAAGTGTAATAATATTATCTTAAATGTAATAAAATGTAATAGCAATGTAATTACAATGTAATGACATAGTAATTACGTTTGTAAATACATGTGTAATGTGTATATTTACGTATACAGCTCTAAAGAACCAAATATTGTACATGCAATATACAAAGAAACATTTGCATTTAAAAACACTATCTTGGATGTAACTACAATGTAACTGCAATGTAACGACACAGTAATTGCACACAAGATAAAGGTTTGTATTTACATATTACATCTCTGATATAACAATGCAATTATAATATCAATACGTTCAAAATAAAAGTTTGTAATTACATATGCACTGTGTATATTTACATATAAATACACAAATACTTAACTTGAGATATACAAAGAAACGTTTATAAATATCTTGGATATTTTAACAATGTATTGACATAGTAGTTACAATGTAACGACACAGTAAATGCACACAAGTTAAAAGTTTGTAATTAAATGTGTACTGTGTTTTTTACTCAAACAGCAATGAATAAACAAATACTACATACAATATACAAAGAAAGATTTACGTTTATAAATATTGTCTTGGATGTAACTATAATGTTACTACAATGTAACAACATAGTAGTTACAACCAAGTTTGTATCTACATATTACATATGTACTGTGTATACAGTATGTATATAACTATAACACAAATACTGCACATAAAATATACAAAACATATTTGCAATACTATTATAGATGTGATTGCGATGTTATAACAATGAAACTACAATGTTATTACATAGTAATTATAATGTAGTGACAACGTAATTACATATAAAATAAAAGTTTGTAATTACATATGTACTGCATATATTTACGTATTAATACACGAATACGTTACATGAAATATACAAAGAAGTTTAAGTTTGGAAATATTGTGTTGAATGTAATTACAATGTAAAAGCAATGTAACTACATTTAAGATAACAGTTTGTAATTACATTATCTGTGTATTGTGTTCATGTAAATTAATATAAATAAACAAATACAATACATGGAATATACGAAGAAACATTTACATTTATAAATATTATCTTAGATGTAACTACAATACATTTATAGTGTAATAACAATGTAACGATATATGTAATTACATTGTAACGACACAATAATTATGCACACGTACAAACATGTTTTTAAAGCAAGATTAAAGTTTGTAATTACAAACTACACACATGTGGACTGCATATTTAAGTAAGAACTAAAAGTACACACTGCACATGAAATATACAAACAAGTTTGCAAATCTTGGATGTAATTACAATGTAATCACAGTGTAAATAAAATGTATCAACATAGTAGTTACATCCAAGATAAAAGTTTGCAATTACATGTTACATGTGTACTGCGTATATGTATAAAATAATAACAAACATATATTGTCCATGATATTTAAATAACATATTTACAATACTATCATAGATGCAATTGCAATATCATAATAATGTAATTACAATGTTATTACATACTAATTAAAATGTAATGACAATGTAGTTACATCCAAAATAAAAGTTTGCAATTACATATGTACTGCATTTTATGTTTTACTTTTACGTATAAATACACAAACACTATATATGAAAAGTAACATTTAAAAGTTTTTAAATATTATATTGAACGTAATTACAATGTAAAAGCAATGTAATTACAGTGTAATGACATAATAATTAGGTTTGTGATTACATGTGTACAGTATATATTTAAGTATACAACTATAGATAACCAAATATTGTACATGCAATATACAAAGAAACATTTACATTTATAAATGTTATCATGAAGTAACTACAATTTATTGACATAGTAATAACAATGTAATGACATAGTAAGTACATCCAATATGTGAATAACTAAATTTTGACAAAAATGTCAGATAGAACCCTATATTTCTATTATATATTTTTTGCTGCCATAAATGCATTTGAAGTTTAAGAGCAGTCTGTAGATGACTATTATTCTGTATTTTTGTCTCATACTGATTAACTATGTTAAAGTTTGTAATTAAAAGAGGACCTGCAGATCAGATATTGGCATTTAAAACATCCAATAAAGCATTGGAGGTATCACCACTGTAGGACTTTTTTATGTTGTTTGTTTCATTTTCCTGTCCCAATTTGACTTGCTCTACCTCTACAATCTGTCTGTTACTTTCTTTATAAGTGTTGCATAATTTCCATCCATACTCCAAGCATTGATCAACTGCATCAGTGTTCTTAAATTTTCTAGTCTTATCTCAAGCCTTAGCAAATAACTGAGAAAGCACCAATGTACAATTTTAACAAAGTATTTTACAGTATTTTTTTTAATACAAGACACTAAAGTATTTTAATAAAGCGATTTTCATCAACCCTTTCAAATACAAATGACAAAATATTATGTCTGAATAAGTGTGTATGGGTGTTTACCAGTGTTGGGTTGTGGCTGGAGGGGCATCCGCTGCATAAACCATATGCTAGATAAGTTGGCGATTCATTCTGCTGTGGCAACCACTGATTAGTAAAGGGACAAAGGCAAAAAGATTTTTTTTATATATATAATATATATATATATAAAAATATATAAATATATATATATATATATATATAAATATATATATAAATATATATTTTATATATATATATATATATATATATATCAAACAAATTTACATAACAAAATTAATTTAAATACTATTCACAATGCATAAGTAATTCAGATTATGATTCTAATTTATTTGTAAGTAGCTTACAATTTGTAATTTACAGGGAACGGATCTGGAAAATGCACAAAACTTTCTCAAT